AAAGAGCCTGCGATATCATATACCCATCATCAGAAGGTTTACTGAGGGAGGAACTGTTGTTGTTGACCATGACAGTATATTTGTTACTCTGATATGCAATAAAGATGTTGTTTCAAATGTGTACTATTGGTGGTACATAGATGTGTTTCATGGAGGATGAAGTATGTTGATATAAGGGGTTTTCACGGTGGCAATGGTAGTGACCAAGGCACTAGCGGAGCTTCTCATGGTGCATAAGAGGGGTGTGTGTGTGGCAAGGATGGCTCTACCAATAGGCGGAGTAACAACATAGGTAGAAGGTGGAGAAGAAGATCCCCTCTCCATGTGTGAGGGGTATTTAGAGAGGAGAGTCCTCCTTTCATGAGGGAGACCGTTGGGCAGCCCATGAGCTGTCTCCAAGCTATGTCTTGTCCTTTGACAAGACATGCTGCCCACTGTCAGTGTACAGGGGCAGCAGTGCAGGGATAGGGAAATGTCCCAGTGGTGAGCCTCTATGGCTTGCCATGGGTTCCCTCTAGAATGTTATAGTCTATGGAATTGGGAGATTGGACCCAACTGGTGGGCCTAAGATGAATAGTATCCAGAACAAGAGCCCCCCAGCTTGGTAGCTTGCGGAGCAGGGTGCCAAGATATATGGCAGCTTAGGCCGGATACCCGTAGTGTGCAGTGTTTCAAGTAGGATACAATGTAACCGATCAGTATTATGTCGGCCTTCATGAGTTGTTTATTTGTTGTCATCGAGTATGAGTTGTCTGGTTGGCGATGCTTGAGTGCTTCAAGAGGATCTTCTATTATGGCTTGCAACTGTGTTGAACTTTGTTGTCTTCAAAGATGCGCCTTGTTATTGAGGAAGGCCTTCAAATGTTGTTGATGTAACAATAATTTAATTGTAAGAATAAGCTGGCGAGCCCATGTTGAATCAAATAACCTGGAGATGTTGACAACTGGAATAAGAATGTCTTGATGATCTGATAAAATAAAGTCGACAGGATTGCAGATCCGAGCTTCGTGAGGAAATAAAGTAGTAAATGAGATCTTCTAGAGAGAATAATGTGTTCCGAAATAGAGAGTGATGGAGATTCTCATGATAAATATATATATATTCACTTCTTCATAAATTTCCCTTCTTCAGCAATGAAACTCGTTGGTGATATGAATGTATGATAAATAACGCCCATGTGGAACCAAGTAGCCTGGAGATTTTAACAACTAGAATAAAGATGTATTGACCGTATGATAATAATAAAATAATGTTGTAGAAGAAAGCTTCTGGAGAAGATAATTGTTCCAAGAGAGAGAGAGAGATGATGAAGATCCTGATGATAAATATACATGTTCCCTTCTTCAGAAATAAAACTCGCTGGTGACAAATAATGTAGTAGATGAAAGCTTCTCGAGAAGAGAATGTGTTCAAAGAGAGAAAGAGACTGGGAGTCTTCATTTCTGATAAATATGTATATTTCTTTCTTTAACAAAAAAACTCGGCGATATGAATGTATAATAAATAATGCCCAGTGACTTCGATCTTTGATGAATGGTTGCTCAGATATTTTGCTCTATGATCATGACCTGCGATAGCTGAAATAATAGTATTTAAATGAAACTGTGCCTAGATGGGATGTTGGCTAGACATCAGCTATCTATGACTTTTGCCGATGGGTAACACATCCCAGACTTTGTTTGCCAAGGGGTAGCACATCCCGGACTTTGTTTGTCGAGGGGTAGCACATCCCGAACTTTGTTTGCCGAGGGGTAGCACATCTCGGACTTTGTTTGTTACTGGGGGTGAGAACCATCCCGGCCTTCAGAATTAATTACCGGGGGTGAGAACCATGACGACCTTCAGAATTAATTGTCGAGGGTGAGAACTATCCCGGCCTTCAGAATTAATTACCAGGGGTGAGAACCATCCTGGCCTTCAGAATTAATTACCGGGGGCGAAAACCATCCCGGCCTTCAGAATTAGTTACCGGGGGTGAGAACCATCCCGACCTTCATAATTACCAGGGATGAAAACCATCCCGAACTTTGTTTTGCTGAGGGGTAGCACATCTCGGACTTTATTTATCGGGGACGAGAATCGTCCCGGCCTTCATAGTATGCCGGGGGTGAGAACCGTCCCGGCCTTCATAATTACCGAGGGTGAGAACCGTCTCGACCTTAATAATATGAGACAAATAGTTTTACAATATACGCCAGAATGGTCGCCCTATCAACATGTAGTTTGAAAGGATCCTTGGTAGCCTCATCCATTTCTTTTGCTAAGTTACAAATTAAAGACTCCCTCACACTAGTAGGAAGCAAAGTAGCACCATGGAGTACTTCATTGCGCCAATGCCAAGTCTTCCAACACGTAATGAAAAAGGTAAAGAGCCATTTAGTGTCTGAACTGTTAGGCTCTGTTTGGGAGATGGTTTTTGGAGGGGAAGGGAAGAGAGAGTTTTAGGAAGCCCTTCCCTTGTTTGTGAGTTTAAAAAAAGGAGGGGAAGAGTTTGGGGGTTTTTACTAAACCCTCCAAAACCCTCATTCTTCTTAAAATTAAAGTTCCCCCAATTTGGAGGGTTTAAGGGGAAAAATATTAAAAATTATTTATCTACCCTTAGCATTAAAATGTTAAAACTACATAATTGTGACTCATTTTTAAACACGATATTATTAGAAAAGTCTCAAATACCGACAGAATTTATTGACGAAAAATATTTCGTCAAAAATAGAAATATTTTACGAAAATCATATACGTCAAAAAATTTCCGTCAAAACTAAAGACAAAATTAGAGACAGAATCAGATTTTGCCATAATCACTAACATAAATTTTGTACGAAAAAAAAAATTCAGTCAAAATTATTGATAGAATCTAAATTGCGTCGAAACTTTTAACGAAAATATTTCCGTCCAAAATTTTGATGAAACACATTTCCATCGAAAAGTTTCGACGTAAAACAATTACGTCAAAATTTTTTACGAAAAATATTTCCATCTAAATTTTGACAAAAAATATTTCTGTAAAAAAATGTGACGAAATTTTTTTTTTGTCAAATTTTTTTACGGAATCTAAATTTTGACAAAATATTTCACATAAAAACACATTCATTGAAACTTTTGACGAAAAATTTCAACGAAACACATTTCTATCGAAAATTGTTGACGAAAAAAAATTTCATCAAAATTTTTAACAGAATTTAAATTCCACCGAAAGTTTTCGACGGAAATATTTTCGTTAAACTTTTTGGCAAAAAAATGTCGAAATTTTTAGCGAAACACATTTCCATCGAAAATTGTCGTCGAAAAATATTTCCATCAAAATTTTCAACGGAACGCATTTCTGTCAAAAAATTTCGACAAAAAAATTTTTCGTAAAATTTTTTGACGAAAATTTTTTCGACAAAAAATTTTGACGAGAAAAATATTCTGTCAAAATTCTTTACAGAATCTAAATTTCGTCGGAATATTTCCCTTAAAGTTTCTAACAAAACAATTTCTGTCAAAAATTTTCATAACACATTTCCATCGAAATTTTGAACGGAAAACGTTCCGTCAAAATTTTTGACACAATTCTTTTTTTGTTTAAAACATTTGATGGAAAATAAATTTCGTCGAAAATTTCGATAGAAAATTTATTTTTTTTAAAAATTTTATCAGTTGAAAAATTCCGTCGCTTTTCGACGAAAGGTATTTTGATGAAAAAAATAAATTTGTGATGAAATTTCCATCGTTTGCAACATAAAAATTTCATTGAAAATATGATCTTTTTTGTGTTGTTCCTTATACCAGCTCAGTTTTACATGATATAGATCAACAAGAGAAAGAAAGACAACCTTTCTGGCATAGTGAAAGGTTGGCTGTAGCTTATGGGCTTCTTAAGGCTGTTCCAGGGACTATTATACGTATAGTGAAAAATCTCCGTGTTTGTGAAGATTGTCATACTGTTCTGAAGTTCATCAGCACTATAACAAGTAGGGAAATTTATGTTCGAGATGCTAAAAGATATCACCATTTTAAGGATGGGAATTGTTCGTGCAATGACTTCTGGTGACTTTGGGTTGAACTGATATCCTTGCAATAAAAAATGCTATCTTGTCCTGGTCAGATGTTTGTTACCTATGCCTTTTACACCTTCAGTGGTAATCCTTAGCAATTTATATTGCCATACACCAAATATAATCAAAATACATAAAAGTTGACGTAGTCATCATGCGCACGTGGCTCCATCTCTTGTAACTAATTTCTGTTGTATAGCTGGCATTCTGTTATTAGTTTAGTTACCTTTATGTTATACAGTAGCGTGTCATGTAGTTGATTTTCATTGTATTAGCTTGTGTATATAAGGTGGTGCCACGTGCATCAGTGTAGATTGATTCTTCATTCTTTTATCAAAATGCTAAACATTGAGATGGTATCAGAGCTCTAAAAAGGGGTCTGGTATCCACGTTCTTCCGCTGAAAATTCTACAATCTTCTTCGTCGAGTTGTGTCAATTTCTTTCTTCTTTTCTGAAGATTCTTCTGCCATTTCTTTTCTTTCTTGTGATCACTCTTATCAATGGAGAACAACAACCAGTTTCCAGAAAACATCACCAATCAATCAAATCCATTTTTTCTTCATCCAATCGAAAGTCCTTCACTCGTTCTAGTATCTCCTCCACTATCTGGAAAGAACTATCATACTTGGGCGCGCGCGATGACCGTGGCTCTGATTTCCTAGAATAAACTGAGTTTTGTAGATGGATCGATTGCGGCACCATCTTCAACAGATCTTTTGTTTCAATCCTAGCTATGTTGCAATACGTGTTGAAAATAATCAAGTATGAGTTGTAAAGAAGTACCACATAGACTAGACATAGACCAAGTGATGAGTGTGAAAGACCCATAAACCTGCAGCCTTAAGGTTTTGGGTTGAGATGTGGTGTCGGCCCACTTATCATGGTTTGTCATTTGGCCCATTGGTGGATGTACCATTTGCAAAGGGTTTTGGGCTCCCTCATTCCATTTCCCAACAATACGATGGTCCTTGCATGGATCCATAGATCAATTTCTGAGAATATAGCACAGTCCATTCTCTGGATCGATCGGGCTTATGATGTATGGAACGATTTGAGAGATCGTTTCTCTCAATCGGACATATTTCGCGTTTCGGATATACAGGAGGACTTGTACAAGTTACAGCAGGGAGAAAGGAGTGTCAGTGAGTACTACACTCAACTGAAGACACTTTGGGATGAGCTTGAGAACCTCAAGCCATTGCCTCTATGCAGGTGTGCATTACCTTGTAATTGTGGAGCCTTCACTCTGATAAGAGCATACAGAGACAGTGACTATGTGATACGTTTTCTTAAAGGCCTCAATGACCAAATACGCACAATTCAGATCGCAAATCATGTTGCTTGATCCTCTTCCCAATGTGAATAGAGTGTTCTCTATGGTGATACAGCAAGAAAGACATTTACAATCTGATTTGCCTACTGAAGCAATCACTAATGCAGGTGTATTTGTTAATTTGGCTAATCAGCACAATTTTCAAAGAGGAGGAAATTCTTATGGCAGAGGGCGTGGACGCTCAAATAGCTACGGCAGAGGATATATGCATGGAGGAAAGTTATGTACTTATTGTGGCCGTACCAATCACACCGTGGAGACCTGTTTCCAGAAACATGGTTTTCCACCAGGTTTTCGTGGCAGAGGCAATTCCTCAGCAAACAATGTTGAAACCAGTTATCAGATTTTGAATCGTGAAGCTCCTCCTCAAGCTTCAGAAAACCAGTTTCCTTTCTCTCAAGAGCAGTGCCAACAACTCATGCTTTTGTTGCAGTCATAGACTCAGGAGAATGATCTCAATACTCATGCCTCAAATCATGTGCAGGTTTCTGCTGCACAGGTAGATTCAGATGTTCAAATTCCTTCCACACAGTCAGGTAAACTCCATACACAATGGTTGCTTGACACAGGAGCAACCGACCACATTTCCTATGAGAAATCACATTTTCTGCATTTAAGTAAGATCACACCTATCTCTATTTCACTTCCAAATGGACACCATATTTTTGCTACTCATTCTGGGATTGTTAATATAACTCCCACTCTGTCTATAACCAATGTTCTTTATGCACCTGATTTCAATGTGAACCTTGTTTCTGTCACTAAACTGTTAGCCAGTACAAATTGTTCACTAATATTTCGTGACTCTATGTGTTTCATCCAGCAGCCCCATACCACAGTGATGACTGGTTTTGCTAGGCAGCAACAAGGGTTGTATGTGATAGTCCATGAAGATACCACACCATCAACTTCTCAGCCACTTTACCAATGCAATGTCAATACTGCCTCCAACAATAAAACAGCCCTCTTATGGCATCGAAGACTTGGCCATGCTTCTTTAGAAGTTATGCAGAAAATGGCTTTACATTTCCCTTTTATTGTGGCTTCTCCTGACTTAGGTCCTTGTGATGTATGCAACTTAGCTAAGCAGAGAAGGTTACCTTTTGTATCCAGTATCACTAAATCCAATAAAGCATTTGACTTGTTACACGCAGATATTTGGGGGCCCTATTCAGTTCCTTCCATCCATGGTGAAAGATACTTCCTTACCTTAGTCGACGATTTTTCAAAATTCACCTGGGTTATTTTAATGAAGACTAAGGGTGAAACCAGAAAGCATTTGTCTAATTTTATCACTATGGTTGAAACACAGTTCTGCACAAAACTCAAAACACTCAGGAGTGATAATGGGTGTGAGTTCATGATGAAAGAGTTCTTTCATAGCAAAGACATCCTACATCAAACTACCTGCATTGAAACCCCACAACAAAACGATGTTGTGGAACGCAAACACCAGCATATCTTAAACATTGCCCGTTCCCTCCTTTTTCAAGCCAATCTTCCATTATCCCTCTGGACATACACCATCCTCCATGCTGTTCACCTCCTTAACCACACGTCCACACCCATTCTTTCCCATAAATCCCCGTATGAGACTTTATATCATATTCCACCCACTTTTGATCACATTAAGACCTTTGGCTGCCTCTGTTTTGCATCCACCATCACTGCTCATCGTACCAAATTTGCCCCACGAGCACGTAAAGGTGTTCTTCTTGGTTATCCAATGGGTACTAAAGGCTACCTCATCTATGACTTGGTTTCTCGAGAAATCCTTATTTCTCGCCATGTTGTCTTCTTTGAAGACCAGTTTTCCTTCCTCACCAATTCCCCATCTTACTCCTCTACTGCCATTCCTGTCCCATCGCCATCACCCTTTACTTTTCCTGTCACTCCCATTTATGAGATGCCTACTGTCCCTACCAGTAATTATTTTATTTTATTTTGGAGATCTCTCTCCTCCATGGGAGAATAATAATATCCACTATTAACCTATGCCGTCAACAATAGTTAGTAAGTCGTCTGTGGAAGTGATATTAGATTTTATATTGATCTATGAGGTGTCAAACCACTGCATGACATGTTATCAAAGGCCAATGTTGGAATTTACATGTTCTCGGATGGCTTATGGTATCCTTGTGTTGTGCATGGCTAATACTATTCACCTTTGCTTTCTAATGTCATTACAGCAAGAAAGACTTAGGAGGGCATCGAGATATTGGAATAAGTTTTACTCTGATTTAAGAAATCACTATAGAGACTCGATACTCGATAGATATTCTAGTAAATGCCTTCTTGAAAAGAATCGGAGGGGTAAGTGTAAACCGGACACCGTCTTCATTCAAGTGAGCCAAAGAGAGATGCCTAATTTTGTGAAACTTCAATACATGGTTATTTGAGCATTGAGTACAAATACAGAGACACGATAAAATTTAAAGGTTTATATACATATACACTGAAGCGTGACAACCTTTGAAATTTCCCGCGTCTTGGCTCTATTGATGTATATGCTTCCAATCTATGGTAATGTACCTTCTTGTTTTATAAATCAATGGAATACGATTTACCATTTACTTTTAGTAATATTTATCATATCCTTTTAATATTTATATATTCTTATAATTTTCAGTTATGATTTAGTATTTGGTAGTGTTACTGTGGGAAAATTATTTACTGTTATGACATAAAAATCATGTATGTAGGACTAAAATGATGAAAATCAAAACACGATAAAGTTTGTAACTTTGAGACATTAGATTTTGAAATCTTAAAATCGAGTTTGAATTATAAGATTAATGGATCTGGATCCTCTAATGTGAAAATTCACATGACTATGTAATGTGGGAAATCATAACCATACAAAGGTGGATCAATGGTAAAAAAGGAGGAGAGAAAAAAAAATGATAAAATAGGTAGTTACGAAATCATAACCGTTGATTTACCTTTGTATGGTTGTGATCTTCCCACATGACCATATCATGATTTTTTGACACATTAGAGGATCCATTTCCAAGATTAATAATTTATAAACCCAACTCTCGGACAAGTCTTCAATTTATAACATTTTTTATAATTTGTTAAATTCAATTGCTACACGTTTCGCATGAATTTAATATACTAAACTGAGAAATTAGTAGTACAAAAATAGTAATAGTTAATACCAGAGTTTTCGCGGGTGAAGAGAATGACCCCAAACATAATTTATAGCCACCAAAATATAAATTGATCATCTAATACGCATATTAATTGAAGAGAACAATATTTTCCATTCTGTAACAAGATATAATACCGAAAGGATTGTCAGAACGGGACAAGGATTAAGGATTTTACTACTGTCTTAATATACAGTCAACTCTGGTGCCATACCATCGGCATCAATTGGCACTAGTTAAGTTTACTTGGTATTTGGTCCCTGTATCGAGCCACAAAACCAAGTTTACTTGTATAGATTCTCGATTTGGTCCCGTATTGAGCCACAACCCTATCCCTTCGAATTTTCATGGTGGGTGTCATTAGCTCTATACCGTTGGGATCTATAAGTTCACTATGTTTCCTTTAGGGATGGAGTCACTGTATGGGTTATACCTCTAGCACAAGTAAAGACTAAGCTAGGAGGCACTATCCAAGTATAAATGCTAACATATGATAATGGGGGTATGTGTATATGTGACTCAAGGATTATGAGCAGAATAACGATACATAAGATGCCTCTCCTTATGTGCGGGAGAGAGGTATTTATAGGGGAATAAGGTGTCTGTCCTGTGAGGGTTGGTGAGAGGGGTTCAACTCACCTTGGGATCAGTTGTGGGTGGCTGATACTGCTATGATAGCAGTGATGCAGCCAGCCCCTGCTTCGGCGATGTCAGTATATGACGATGGGGGTTACTATTTATAGTGTCTGGAGTGGTCTCCCAGAGAATTATAATCTCAAGGTGAGATATTTTGGTGTCTCACCTAGAGAGTGCGGTGCCTTGGAGGCATGATGGATGAAAGGTTGGTAGGACTGACGTAGAAAAAAAGAAAAGATTTGAACTCAGGTTATTGGGCCGTATAGAGTTGGGCCATTCGAAACAAGCTCAATATGTCTTTAACACTTCTTCTTTGTTAGGAACAATTATAGCTGCCAGGCGTCGCTTATCGTATAAGTTACAGTTAGCACCAAATAAATAAAACCAGTGCATTTTGTAATATCTAATATACAGTTCATATGTAGACCTTGAGCCATTAAAGTTTAAAGACATCAAAGTTTGAATTCACCTGGCCAACAACAACAATTTGTTGTATGAGGCTACTCCTCGTGGCAGCTTCTTCAAGTTCTCCCGGTTCAACATTTTCACCTTCTCTTATTGGAACAAGTGATTAGTACTTAGACAAGGGGTAAAAACCGATGATCAACAAGTTTTTTTGTTATCGAGATAAAAAGCAAAGCTGCAACTAAGGGTCAAAAAATGGAAATAATCGTTAAAGCCTCATAGTAAACATATGACAAATAAGAAAGTCAAAAATAGTTAATTGCAAATAACCACAATTCAACAAGTAGCTAATTTACTAATTAAAGGTCTAGCCATAGCCATACAGTATAGAAAATCGCAAACAAAAGTTACTCAATTTGTTTATTAATTTTTTGTTGATAAAAATTTACCGATTATTTGGAACCTTTTAAACATGATATGATCATAAGTTTTTTGGTTTTTTTTTTTAAACTAGATCAAATGAATAAAAACTCATGTAGAACATCATTGAAGTGTACTATAAATAGTACGTGCATACATACCATATCAGCCACTTTTGCGTTAACATTAATATTGTTGTCTCCTCTAGTGATGCACTCTTGGAGGCAGAAATTTCTTTCCCTTTCCTAAACTCCCACACAAGGCTATTCTCCATAACCCTCCAAATTCTACAAAAAAAAAAATTCAGAATGGAATAATCAAGCATGATTCCTGAAATAAAATCTAACATGATATAATTCATATTTTATACAAGCGGTTATGCAAATTAATTGATTAATTTATATCTATTTTTCTTGGGTTTAAATCTAATCAGGTTTGAAAAATTAAAATTTCCCTATCAATAAACTTTAGAATCAAGCTATTATCCAATAGAAAAATGTTCAACATCCTAAAAGATAATATATGGATTTTTTATTTTTTTTACGAAAACTTTCCTAAAAAAATTCCTATTTCTTTTCTCTTTTATATTTTTGTCTAACTATTTTATTTTGTTATTTCAATCTGATTATATAAAAAAAAAAAAAAAAATCGTAATGATACTAGTGCAAGAAAATATGAATAGTTAGAAAGAAGATGGAATGGAATAATCAAGCATGATTCCTGAAATAAAATCGAAATGGATGGTTAAGATTATTGCTGAATGTCATTCTTTCACCATTCTCATGCACTCCAATCTCAACTCTCCTCCGTGGCACGCCACAGTCACAACCCTTCGGTGGCGAAGAAACTTCACGCACTAATCATAAAATGTGGGCTTAACCGACACGAGCCTTTCCCTAACACTCTCGTCGACGCCTACGGCAAATGCGGTCTCATCCAAGATGCACTCCAAGTGTTCGACGCATTGCCCCATCTAGACCCAGTGGCATGGGCCTCCGTTCTCACCGCCTGCAACCTGGCGAACCTCCCACACCGAGCCCTCTCCATCTCACGCTCCGTTCTTAACACCGAGTTGCAACCCGACCACTTCGTTTTCGCTAGCCTCGTTAAAGCTTGTGCTAACTTGGGTGCTCTTCATGTGAAGCAAGGGAAACAGGTCCATGCTCGCTTTTTGCTGTCACCCTTCTCCGACGATGATGTTGTCAAGTCATCGTTGGTTGATATGTATGCGAAATTTGGGTTGCCCCATTATGGGCGTTCCGTTTTTGATTCGATTTCTTCGTTGAGTTCGATTTCTTGGACTGCCATGATATCTGGGTATGCGCGGAGAGGACGAAAGTTTGAAGCTTTTCAACTGTTTCGTCAAACGCCATATAGGAACTTGTTTGCTTGGACCGCTTTGATTTCTGGGTTCGTGCAGAGTGGGAATGGAGTAGATGCGTTCTACTTGTTCGTTGAAATGCGGCGTGAAGGGATTAATATAGTAGACCCGTTGGTTCTTTCCAGTGTGGTTGGCGCTTGTGCTAATTTAGCTGTTTGGGAGCTTGGAAAACAGATGCATTGTCTGGTTATAACCCTTGGTTATGAGTCTTGCTTGTTTATAAGCAATGCTCTTATAGATATGTATGCCAAATGCAGTGACCTTGTTGCTGCAAAAGATATCTTCTGTAAAATGTGCAGAAAGGATGTAGTTTCTTGGACTTCAATAATTGTTGGCACTGCTCAGCATGGGCAAGCTGAGGAGGCATTGACTTTGTATGATAACATGGTTTTGGCTGCGGTTAAGCCAAATGAGGTGACCTTTGTTGGTTTGATCTGTGCATGCAGTCACGTTGGTCTAGTTAGCAAGGGCCGTGCTTTGTTCAGTTCTATGGTTGAAGATTATGGAATTAGGCCCTCTCTTCAGCACTATACTTGTTTGCTGGATCTTTTTAGTCGATCGGGGCACCTTGATGAGGCAGAAAATCTCATTAGAACAATGCCAGTTAGCCCTGATGAACCTACTTGGGCTGCTTTACTCAGTGCTTGTAAGCGCCATGGTAACAACCAGATGGCAGTTAGGATTGCTGATCATCTGTTAAATTTAAAACCAGAAGATCCTTCGTCCTATATATTGTTATCTAATATATATGCTGGAGCTGGTATGTGGGAGAATGTTTCAAAGGTGAGAAAGTTAATGATGGTTATGGAAGTTAAAAAGGAACCGGGTTATAGCTGCATTGACTTGGGAAAGGAAAGCCATGCGTTTTATGCTGGAGAGACATCCCATCCAATGAAGGATGAGATTCTAGGTTTAATGAGGAAGTTAGATGCAGAGATGAGGAAAAGGGGTTATGTTCCTGATACCAGCTCAGTTTTACATGACATGGATCAACAAGAGAAAGAAAGACAACTTTTCTGGCATAGTGAGAGGTTGGCTGTAGCTTATGGGCTTCTTAAGGCTGTTCCAGGGACTATTATACGTATAGTGAAAAATCTCCGTGTTTGTGAAGATTGTCATACTGTTCTGAAGCTCATCAGCACTATAACAAGTAGGGAAATTTATGTTCGAGATGCTAAAAGATATCACCATTTTAAGAATGGGAATTGTTCGTGCAATGACTTCTGGTGACTTGGGGTTGAAATTTCAAAAAATTTGATGTTGAACTGAGGTCCTTGCAATAAAGAATGCTAGCTTGTCCTGGTCAGATGTTTGTTACCTATGCCTTTTACACCTTCTGTAGTAATCCTTATCAAAAAAATTTATTATTATTATTTATTTATTTGGAGATATCTCTCCTCCCTCTCTAATATCCACTGTTAACCTATGCCTTCAACAATAGTTAGTAAGTCGTCTACTTTCTTCATGGATGTGGCAATAGATGTTATATTGATCTATGAGGTGTCAAACCACTCCATGACATGTTATCAAGGGCCAAGGTTGGGTATTTACATGTTCTCGGATGGCTTATGCTATCCTTATGCATGGCTAATACTATTCAGCTTTGCTTCCTTATGTCATTACAGCAAGAAAGACTGGGGAAGGCATCGAGATATAGGAATAAATTTTACTCTGATTTAAGAAATCACTATCGAGATTGCTCGATAGTCGATATTTCTCCTTCAGCTACATGATATTCTAGTAATGCCTTCTTGAAAAGAATTGGAGGGGTAAGTGTAAACGGGACCCCGTCTTCATTCAAGTGAGCCAAAGAAGATGCCTAATTTTGTGAAACTTCAATACATGGTGATTTGAGCATTGAGTACAAATACAGAGACACTATAAAATTTAAAGGTTTATATACATATACACTGAAGTGTGACAACCTTTGAAATGTCTCGTGTGTCTTGGCTCTACTGATGTATATGCTTCGAAACTATGATAATGTACCTTCTTGTTTTATAAATCAATGGAATACGATTTATCATTTCCTTTTAGTAATATTTATCATATCCTTTTAATATTTATACATTCTTATAATTTTCAGTTATGACTTAGTATTTGGTAGTGTTTCTGTATGAAAATTATTTACTGTTATGACATAAAAATCATGTATGAAGGACTAAAATAATGAAAATTAAAACATGATAAATTTGTAACTTTGAGACATTAGATTTTGAAATCTTATAATCGAGTTTGAATTATAAGATTAATAATTTATAAACCCAACTCTCGGTCAAGTCTTCTATTTATAACATTTTTGATAATTTGTTAAATTCAATTGCTACACGTTTCGCATGAATTTAATATACTAAACTGAGAAATTAATAGTACAAAAATAGTAATAGTTAATACCAGAGTTTTCGCGGGTGAAGAAAATGACCCCAAACATAATTTATAGCCACCAAAATATAAATTGATCATCCATATTAATTGAAGAGAACAATATTTTCCATTCTGTAACAAGAGATAATACCGAAAGAATTGTCAGAACGGGAAAAGGATTAAGGATTTTACTAGTGTCTTATATACAGTCAAAACTCTGGTGCCATAAGATCGGCATCAATTAGCACTGGTAAGTTTACTTTGGTATTTGATCCCTGTATTGAGCCACAAAACCAAGTTTACTTGTATAGATTCTCGATTTGGTCCCCGTATTGAGCCACAACTCTATCCCTTCGAATTTTCATGGTGGGTGTCATTAGCCCATTATCAATCTGTTATTATAGAAAAAGATTAACCAAATATCTCAATTCTGTAATGTAAATAATATATAGATACTACTATGAAGTTCAATCTAACCGTGAAGGGATCATTGACGAGAAGGATTGGCCCAATTTGAAATGAAGACTCCGACGTCCTGCATGATAAAAAATCAAATAAATCAAAACGAGTATAACAAAGAAAACCAGTTAGTGAAAGCAAAAGAGGGAAAAGGTGAAATTTCAATTTCTTTCCCTTTTTTCTCGGTTCTGAAAAAACATAACTACGTACCTTTTGCTCAATCATGAAACCCGTTTTAGGTTCTTAAGGAATTTAGTTATTGAAGTCTACCTTGGAATTTTATTCCAAGGCAAAAACTCGCTACATCCTCTTTCATACAGCAGTATAAACTATGCTCATCTATTCCTCATTTGGCAAGGGAAAGCGCTACCCAAATGTAATTTCCTTCTCTATCATATAATATAGTACAAATGAAGTATCTACTTTTGTCCTCCTCCTCCTTTCGCAAGGCACCGCAACTTACTAGAACACTCAAATAAGAGTGCCCAAGGGAGAGATTCAATTTTCAGATACAAAACACCTCTGACAATGTATTTAATTTCACTATTAAAAAATAATTTATTCTCTTCCATTCTCATAAACTTCAACTAAAGTTAATTAACCGTTATAGTCAAAAACTTCCCTACCTTGTAAACAAAAAACACACCAACATACCACTCCAATATTTATGAAGGCATAAAATTTCCCTAGCATTCATCAGAATAAGCAGAAGTGAGAAAATGTCTTACCAGGTCTTTAATTCTTTATATATTAGGCTGGTCACTTTTTCCTGACTGACATCTGAACTGTTGGAATCTATCATTGACGAAGCCCTCGCTGCCTTTAACACTTCTTCTTTGTTAGGAACAATTACAGCTCCCAGGCGTCGCTTATCCTATAAGTTACAGTTACCACCAAATAAATAAAACCATTGCATTTTGTAATATCTGATATACAGTTCATATGTAGACCTTGAGCCATTAAAGTTTAAAGACATCAAGATTTGAATTCACCTGGCCAACAACAACAATTTGTTGTATGAGGTTACTCCTCATGGCAGCTTCTTCAAGTTCTCCCGGTTCAACATTTTCACCTTCTCTTATTGAAACAAGTGATTAGTACTTGCACAAGGGGTAAAAACCGATGATCAACAAGTTTTTTTGTGCCGAGATAAAAAGCAAAGCTGCAACTAAGGGTCAAAAAATGGAAATAATTTAAAGCCTCACAGTAAACATGTGACAACTAAGAAAGTCAATAGTTAATTGCAAATAACCACAATTCAACAAGTAGCTAATTTACTAATTAAAGGTCTAGCCATATAGCCATACAGTATAGAAAATGGCAAACAAAAGTTACTCAATTTGCTTATTAATTTTTTGTTGATAAAAATTTACTGATTATTTGGAACCTTTTAAACATGATATGATCATAATTTTTTTTTTTTTTTTTAAACTAGATCAAATGAATAAAACTCATGTAGAACATCATCGAAGTGTACTATAAATAGCACGAGCATACATATATGCATAATATAAAATAGATATGTTGTATGAAACATAATTATTGATTTCTCACAATTTGCTAAAATATAACGAACATTGTTCTTGAAAAAAATATTCACATAAAAAAGAAAAAAATAAAACAACTTTATCAATAAAAAGAGCTTTTATTCATACAATACATTAAGTGATGCAACAAAAAAATATAGTACATAAAGTGTAGCATGTGTGTTACTCAAGCTTCTATATTCCAGAGCAAAAATGCATGCTATAATCGACAATAATACCCATTATAACGTATATCAATATCACTAAATAATATCTTCCTATATACACCTTTTTGCACGGTAACCTAAAAGAAATATTAAAAAACTAAACATATTTGTTCTGAATGATGATTTAGTGGCAGTAAATTTTGAAAACTGGTTGGTGGTTACTTTTCAATGTACTCCTCATGTCAAACTATTTTATATAAACAAGCAAATTTATACCAAATTTAAAATGGTATTAACCCCTCGGTTATAATAAATATTTAAACACAAAGAAAGAACCTTGTATGAGGAAGGAATACTAATTTTTAAAAAACAAGACAACACAAGCGCAAATGGACGGAAAAGTGTACCTTAAATCTGTTCAGTTACAAATGCCAAGGTTACTTTTACTGGCATTGTCCATTATTCATATTCAAAAATGGATTAAAAAAATAGATACCACAAACACTGGGAGGGAAGAGACATTTTTATAGGATTCAAAGACTAACATACACAAACTTCTGTTCTACCTGTTGAAAGCACAATAGTGTCTTTAGCACGGCCTTCGACAACAATCACACCACCAGAATGACAACTCCGCCCAGTTGAATGGTGGGGCACGATCCACCCTATATCACCGGTATTCAGCCAGCCATCCTTATCTAAGACCTGATTTGTAGCTGAAGGATTCTGATACAAGATTAAGATCTGTAACTAACACAACTTGATCCAGCATGTCAATAAGACCACTACTTGACTGTTATGACCATTACACAGGTTGCTGGCATATCATGGAAAATTGTTTCAAGACAAAACAGAATTCTTCATTAGAAGAATTCTCAGAGCACCTGATTCTGAGCCTTTTATAAGCCCTTGCCTCAATTTTCAAGTTTAGCAGGCAATCAAACATTTATAAATAAATAAAACTAAAACTCCAATATAAAGGAGGTATTTCAGAAAGCCCAAAATATTATAGTAATATACATGCTTTTATATCTGCAATACAAGTCCAACAAAATTGTTTTGAATTTTTCATAACATGCACTCTTTCTCCTTTCTCTCACATCCACACACACACTCACATGTCAACACAATACACATCATGTTTGCATTTTGACAAGGTAAATTACCTTGTAGTATCCCTTCATTAATTGTGGGCCCCTGACTTTCAGAATTCCCTTTGAACCAGGTGGAAGAACTTCATCGGTTTCAGAATTTACAACTTTGAATTCTGTATGCTTAATTGGATGCCCAACAGATCCAATAACCTTCAAAAGATTACATCTGTAACATTTTCAGATAAAAGCACCGCTGTTTGCAGACTCAAATTACAAATTAATTTAAAGAAGGGTCAAGATCATTTCACTTCAGTGTAACTTACGTTTTCAATTTTGACCGTTTATTCCACTTATCTAATGGCTTTTAAGTTTTTAGTCATGTGAATGTGAGCCATTGGATATGAGTGTAAGACTTCTCATTCTTATTGATGCAGAATTATATGGAAAGTAGGCTTTCAGGAAAATGCAGAAGTTTTCTGCTATATTATTATTCTTCAACAAATCAAAGTCTTCCCTCACATCCTTCTAACCAGCCTTTTAAAGGCAATACAAAAAGTAACTGACAACAAAGGACCATCAATGGTTTTAAAAACTGATACAAAACGGAAATAACCATAAACAAAACATTAAGTCATGCAAACTGAAACGTCTGCAATTATTAAAATCCATAAAAAGCTTTAAAACTGAAACGTCTGCAATTATAATAATTTATGGTGACTTAAGTGCATCATCCTCTCCCGCTAGGAAAAGATTCGCCCTCGAATCTGCAACGTCTTCAGGTGGTAATCCAGGTGGCAACTCTTCTGGTACAATATCACCAAATTTCCTAATTAAGATTAAGACTTGGAAATGCAGTTCTTTGACATGCTTGGTATATTCATTTGTAGTTTGGATCAATGATCGCATCTGTGATCGGTCATAGGAAAACTTTGTCTGCAAGTCCCATTGCCCTTGACGATCTCCAATTAAACTTTTACCAAAAGCTAAATCTTTATCTCCATGGAACATAAGGTTGTTATGCTCGTTGTCCCCAAATTCATAATACTGCTTGCAAACTGAAGACTTAGACTTCTTGGATGAAGGATCATTCTGCATGATATCTTTGGGTAGAACTTCATCTTTGTCAGAGATATTAGAATTTCTAATAATTGACTTCCCATCGGAATCACTACAAGAGATTTCTTTCACCTTTGGATTCTCATCATCTTGCTCTTCATCATATTCATCATAGATTGGGACCTTCTGGTCTTCTGTCAAGTCTATGATGTCAAAGACCTTTTCGACGGTGTGTGACTCGTCGATAAACTCATCTGGATGAGTGGTGCCTTCGAATTCCAGGATCTCAATCATCACCTCAATATTAGCAAAAAAGGATTGATTTCCA